TTACATTGTTCGTGTTATGAAATGGATAAAAACTTTAGTTTGAGAACGTGTGTTCCTTTAAGTTCAATGCAAGTCAATTTATACGATGCATATGTTTGTAAATGACCACCAGCTTTGTTAGGCACATTTCTAAGATTACACTTAGAAACGTATAAAACTCTGTTACTACAGAAATTGCATATCGTGATAAAATTGTAGATCTTTATCGTTATACTAATAAAAATGAGAAATAAAATATTCCGAGTATGTAGACACCGTGCCGCGGACGTACGGTGCAATTTTTCCTGTCATATTCTACGAACATCCATTTCATCGGTTCGAACTTCTTCATTCAAAGAATTCAAATTTTCACCAGCTAGAAGCGCTTCAATCTCGTTATATGTTTTTCCTTTTGTTTCCGGTACCCATATGAACACCATCAGGAATGCCAAGAAGCATGATGTCGCGAAGATAAAGTAAATCGTATACGACCCTAAATTATCTACAAATACTTTATACAGTACCATCACGATAAGACCAATTATAGCATCGAATGTGACATTGATGACACTAACAAAGCCTCTTAGTTCCGCAGGAAATAAGTCGCATAGGAGGACATTGGGTAACGTACCTAAACCAATTTCAAACAATACTTGATATATAATTAAGTCGATAACTGGAATAATAGAGACGTTGGAAGCCTCAAGCAGATTTCCAAATAACACTAGATAAATTGCTAAAATAATCAATGTAATACTCGTCCCACCCGTAGAGAGAAGCAAAAGTGTTCTTCTTCCTACGAATTGCAATGCGAAGGAGATTAAACTGCCAGATACAAAGCTGACAAACAGGACCAAAATCGTCGCTTCGTGTGGATCGATAACGATCGTTGTTTTCCTTAACAACACTTCCAGATGCTGCGTAGTGATGAAGTTTCCGCTAAGTTGTTGTGCCATGGTCAAGCCAAGCATGATATACAGAGCTTTCCTGTAGTTTCGATGTAGTATTACTTGCAGCTTGGTCATACAGGTATATTCAGTTCCATCCATGTATGTCTCATCTGAGTCTGTCGACCCTTGTGAATCCACATTGAATTCTGTGCGTAAATCGCTTCTGGATCGCGATTGTAATTCGCTTCTCGTTCCTGGGTGTATTTCGCTTGTGGGTCCTGGGTGTATTTCGCTTGTGGATCGTTGGTGTATTTCGCTTGTGGATGATTGGTGTATTTCGCTTATGGTTTCTGGGTGTAATTGACTTGTGGATGGTCGGTGTATTTGACTTGTGGATGATCGGTGTATTTGACTTGTGGGTGGACGATGTATGTGGCTTGTGGATTGTCGGTGTATCTGGCTTGTGGACGGTCGGTATATTTCGCTTGTGGATGATCGGTGTAACTCGCTTGTGGATTGTGAGTATAATTCGCATGTGGATGGTCGGTGTATTTGGCTTGTGGATGGTCGGTGTATTTCGCTCGTGGATGGTCGGTGTAATTCGCTTGTGGATTGTGAGTGTTTTCCGCTTGTGGATGGTCGGTGTATTTTTCTTGTGGATGGTCGGTGTATTTCGCTTGTGGATGGTCGGTCTATTTCGCTTGTGGATGGTCGGCGTATTTCGCTTGTGGATGGTCGGTATATTTCGCTTGCGGATGATACGCGTATTTCGCTTCTTGATGGCTGGTGTATTTCGCTTGTGGGTTCTGAGTGTATTTCGCTTGTGGATGGTTGGTGCATTTCGCGTGTGGATGGCCGGTGTATATCGTTTGTGGATTGTGAGTGTAAATCGCTTCTGGATTGTTGGTTTAATTCACATCTGGATTGTGGGTGTAATTCGTATCTGGCTTCTGTGCGTAGAGCACGTAGTTCGATTTCCACTCTCTGAGGATCTGTGATATTTTTGTAATATGCTATGGACTTGGATGCTTCCTCCTTTAGTCCTTTTGCTACCAAGAAATACGGTGTTTCGGGGAAACAGGTGTTCGGGAAGAAGGATATAAAGGATAGTATTACAAGAGCCAGCAGGAGTGAGTTGTACGTCAGCCAGATTCCTAGGGCGCAGGTTATCATTGTTCCGGTATATACGTCCACTGCGATTATAGTACCTAGGGTTCCTCTGATGTTTATGTCGGCGACTTCTGACACGTACATGGGAGTTATCGTGCGGGCAATACCAACGCCTATACCGAGAAACAGCCGACCAAAGTATAGCAATCGCACGGAAGTTGCTTCATACATGATGTACCAACCTACGGTGAATATTGTGCTGCATACAAGGAGGCAGTATCTACGACCCCTGCGATCGGCCAACTGGGCAGCCAGAAGTGAACCGAAGATTGAACCAATTATTGTGATAGAAATCACCCATGAATGTTCCACGCGTCGTAACCTTAGCGGCACGTCAGCGGTCCCGGTTGATAGATGGACAAGAGAAGTCGTTGTCCATCCGTAGACTGTACCGACCATGACCATGGTTAGGGTTGCTGGAATGAGAAACAAGTAATGCTATATATAGCATATGTTAATTGTAGTGCGATTGTATTATAAGAACACTGCGTATATTTACGCAAATTTATATTTTTAATATATACTCATAATATATTTCTAATTAATACATACCGCAGGCTATAAGTAATTGGACTCCTCGCAATGTTAACTCAAATGCTTTTCACTAGTTTTATTTCCTAACTATTGTATTATTAATCTGTTAATCCATTCGCATTATTTGTGCATTGAGTAAAGTACTACTGCATGAAGTATAATACCACACGAAGTAAAATTTGTATAAGACTTGCGATAAGCCTAGATGTATTAATGTGTAATAATGAACATTATTTCGCTTTCAGATTTCTCATAAATATATGTAAGTTCGCATTCGATTTATGATATAATAAAGCATCAGTGCGATGAATATCTGAATCGAAATGTCAAATTTATCGTAATGTAGGATGGAATAGAAGTGCAACTTTAAACGATTGTACGCAAGTCGATACAAGTAAGAAATAATTTAAGAACATCACTATGAAACATCAATTCGAGGGGGGAAAGGGAATTGCAATTTGCGTATTAAAATTGCAGATAAGTACCTCACGTTATATCAAGAGTGAAAACTAACCAGAAATACATGCTAGATATTGCCGGCTTTGTAAGATGCAGGGACTAGGACATTTCCCTTGCGGAGATGATCCATCAGGATCTAAACCTTCGCCCTCAGGCGAGTGCACAGCAGTGTTCCTGGGACCCTGGAAAACAGACACCTTTGTTAAGAATAGAAATCATAATTCTATTCTAATTAGATAGTGTAATCTAACTTATGAGCGAATTCCAAACCACGGAAAAGATGTCAAGAAGTATTTAAATATTAACATTATTTCAACATTTTTTCTTTCTCCTATCTTAATTGAAATACAATTTATGACATTTCTGTCAACAACATTGAAATATTCTTGATGTTCTTTGATGTTATTAAAGATAAAAGACGTACTTGAGTTTTTCACTGACGTTTGCTAATGGTTATTTGTGCTTTTGAAAACTTTCTTGTACAATCTTTTCCTTTGAGTGTCCTCCATATCAATGATAATTTGTAATGTTTTTATATGTTTCTTAAATATCTTTTCTAAATAATGAAATATATTAACATGTCGTACAGATAATACCAAAGAACAGTTTGCACCTTCGAATGTGATTCGATATTTATAGGACGTAACGGTTTTAAGCTTTGAACTTTATGTGTTGGTGGGTCGTGACGGTTTAAATCAGGGTGAAAGATTCAAAATTTTAAAATGATCACGATCGATCAAGACACAAGGTCAAAGATTTAAGATTATTGTGACTTTTAAATATCGACACGATATGTTAATACATTTCATTATGTGCCAAAACTTTAAATAGAGACGTAGGAATCAAAACTTTAATCGCTATGGATTCCAATCTCTATTTGGAAATAAAAGAATAATAGTTAAATTCGCTGAAAATAGGTACCTCAAACAGACGCCATTTTTTATATTTTCGTTGAATTAGAATTTAGGATTTGTTATTCGGCGATATTTAATTTCTAGCCGTTTATTTCAAAAATATTTATCATATAATAATATTAAATACTTACCGTTGTACTCTCGGACATGCTGCCAAAAATAAGTACTTTCACGCAATTATATAATCACGATAGATTTTCAATAATTCAATTTGTAGGATTTAGTTCACTCATAATTATTTAAAAAATGCACGAATGACCTGGGGTAGTAATCTATCGCGAAAAAAGGACAACTGTAAGAAATCTTTACACTGAATCTCGCGATTTGCGGATTTCGTATTGACTTGTTCGATTTACACGACTGCCACAACTATACTGGATACTTCTGAGGATACTTCCCCTTTACATACAATCGACATTATTTCAACACATAAACACTTCTAATTCTCCTTGTTATATGTTTAAGTGTAACGAATTATTTTTAAATATTTTGCCATAGGAACAATAATATTTTTGTACATATTATATCTAGGAAATATCCTAATTATAGTGTTAGAACAATCGAATGCCAACTAGTATATGATACATATTTCCTATAATATAAAAATTGAAATGAGCAAAAATAATTGCACATCTTCGTCTATTAGTTATTTTTGTTCTATGTTACAACATCGGTTACGTTGCGATCACAATGCAGCATTTGAATTTATAACATTATAATATTATAATATTATAGCATTTGGGTTTATAAGGAAACCTTTACATTTTTTATAGCTAGGTTTAAGGGAATCTTTATATTCTTGATCGGTAAGAATTATGAAGCCACTCTGTGCCTTTATTATGTTCGGATTTGTACGTATTATGCAGGGCTTGCGAAAACGCCTTTAGTTTTCTAATTATAGTATTGAAATTAAATTAGATGTTCTATCAGGTAGAGTTTCTCAAATTTGATGGGACACGATCTAGATGGAACGTTTGTGAGTCTGGTGAATGGTTATGTAGAGTAGCTTTACTGCTAAAAAGCAATGCTTCCTAGATGCATTAATCCGTTCCTAATAAGTACTTCAATATTTAATTAATTTATACATGCGTAATTAAGAGTAATGTTTAAGTAAATAAGGTAGTGTAAGTAGATAAGCAGTATAATTCTTTATGAGGCGCGTCTTTCCCATTTTTGAAATAATCTTAGAATAAAACTTAAATAAAATAGATCATTTAAAATCTTGTTTTTGATTTTATATATAGATGGTAATTCCACGTTTCTTGTAGCTTTTTAATAAGATAATTGTTTAAAGGTATACAATAAATACATAATTGTTGATAGAAAAAAATTTATAAAATTATCGATATTTAATTTTTCGTGTAAATTATCGTATATTAAAAGTAGGAAACATTATAAATTTCTAAACTGAACACTATTATTATAGCTATAATTTACCGAAGATAACATTCATCAGTTCGATAGAATTTCTGCTGGACAAGGCTAGGTGTTTATCGCGGTGTTATGATACAGTAATTACTATAATATTCGAAGAAGCATATTCAAAAATTTTTTAGTAATAACTATAATACAACGCCGAAAAGACCATGTCTTACACATATATAATTGTATATGTATATACATATGCTTATCAGCGACAAACACAATGTAATTTAAGTACTTATTAGCAATGTGTTATGTTAATTATATTACATTATTTTTAGCATAAATATTGACTTTTTCAGCATACCTGCTGTTTATTGTGACAATATTAGCATATGTGTATGTGATATACATATGTTATATATTGCAAACAAAAAAAAGCAGCATAGATAACAGCTGAAATATAGAGAATTGTTCTTGTCAGTATTATGTCACCTTGTCATTTTTTAATATATTACTTTTCTTACTTTTGTAAACTCTTGTTCAGTTATCTCGAGTTAATTGATATTGTCACATTGTTCGTATTATGAAATGGATAACAAGTTTAGTTTGAGAACATAAAATTCTCTAAGTTCAATTCAAGTCAATTTATCCAATACATATGTTTGTAAATGACCATGAGCTTTGTTAAACACATTTCTGAAATTACACGTACAAACAAATAAAACTACGTTACTACAAAAATTGCATATCGTGATAAAATTGTAGATCTTTATCGTTATACTAATAAAATTGCATATCGTGATAAAATTGTAGATCTTTATCGTTATACTAATAAAAATGAGAAATAAAATATTCCGAGTATGGAGACACCGTGCTATGGATTGTCAGTGCATTTTCTCCCGTCATATTTCACGACTATCCATTTCATCGGTTCGAATTTCTTCATTCGGTGAATTCAAATTTTCACCAACTAGAATCACTTTAATCTCGCGATACGTTTTTCCTTTTGTTTCCGGTATCCATAGGTACATCGCAATATATGCCAAGAAGCATGATGTAGTGAAGATAAAGTAAATCGCATACGATCCTACATTATCGGTAATGACTTGATACAGTTTCGACACGGTAAAACCAATTATACCATCGAAAATTACAATGATGGCACCAACAAAACCTTTTAGTTCCGTAGGAAATAAGTCGCATAGGAGAACATTGGATAACGTACCTAAACCAAGTTGAAACACTATTTGATATATAATTAAGTCGATAACTGGAACAATAGAGGCGTTGGAAATGTTATACTTATGTTCAACTAACAAAAGATAAGTTGCTAAAATATTCAATGTTAAACATGATCCAGCCGTGGATATAAGCAAAAAAGTTCTTCTTCCAATCAATTCCACTGTTATGATGGTTAAAGTGCCAGATGCAAGGCTAAAAAACTGGACCAATACCGACGCTTCCTGTGGATCGATAACGATCGTTGTTTTGTTCAACAACACTTCCAGATACTGCGTAGTGATGAAGTTCCCGCTAAGTTGTTGTGCCATGATCATTCCAAGCATGATAATGAGAGCTTTCCTGTTGCTTTGATGTAGTATTGTTTGCAGCTTGGTCATACAGGTATATTCAGTTCCATCCATGTATATCTCATCTATGTCCGTCGATTCTCGTGAATCCACACTGGATTGGAAATCGCTGGATTTATCCACACTGGATTGGATGCGTAAATCGCTTGTGGATCGCGATTGTATTTCGCATATTTCGTCTGGGTTTATTTCGTTTGTGGATGGTTGGTTTATTTCGCTTGTGGATGGTCGGTGTATTTCGCTTGCGGATGGTCGGTGTAATTCGCCCGTGGGTTGCTGGTGTACGTCGCATATAACGTCTGTGTGTATTACGGATGTAGGCTGTGAGAGTGAATCGGTACTGGATGGTGCGGACATGGGTTCTGTGTCTACTACTTCCCAAAAAGAGTCTGAGTGTGCTTCGCGTCTTGATTGTGAGGGTAAGTCGCTTCTGGGTTGTGAAGGTAAATCGCTACTGGACTGTGGGGTTAAATCGCGTCTTGATTGTGAGGGGAAGTCGCTTCTGGGTTGTGGAGGTAAATCGCTCGCGTCTTGATTGTGAGGGTAAATCGCTTCCGGGTTGTGAATGTAAAAGGCTACTGGATTGTTGGTGTAATTCGTATCTGGATTTTGGGTGTAATTCGTATCTGGTTTGTGCGCGTAGATCACGTAGTTCGATTTTCACTCTTTCAGGATCTACAATGCCTTTGTAATAGGCAATCGACTTGCATGCTTGCTTGTTTTTACCTCTTGCGGCCAAGAAATACGGAGTTTCGGGGAAGCACATGTTCGACACGATGGATGTAAACGATATTAATATAAGAACCACCAGGAGGTACTTGTAAGTTAGCCAGATTCCTAGGGCGCAGGTTACCAGTGCCCCGGCATATACGTTTACTGCGATTATAGTACCTAGGGTTCCTCTGATGTTTATGTCGGCGACTTCTGACACGAACATGGGATTTATCGTGCGGGCAATACCAACGCCTATACCGAGAAGCACTCGAGCAATATATAGCATTGGCACGGACGTTGCTACGCAGATGGTGAACCAGCCAATGGTGCATATTGTGCTGCTTAGAAGGAGGCAGTCTTTACGACCGATGCGATCGGCCAACTGGGCAGCCAGAAGTGAACCGAACATTGAACCAAGTACTGTCAAAGAAACCATCCACGAAGATTCGTCGGGTGTTAACGTTAGCGGCACGCCACCGGTTCCGGATATTAGATAAGGAAGAGAAATCGTTGTCCATCCATAGACTGTACCGACTACGACCATGGTTAGCGTTGCTGGAAGAAGAAACAAGCAATTCTATATATAGCATATGTTAATTGTAGTGCGGTTTTTTTATGAAAGCACTGCGTATATTTACGCTAATTTATGTTTTTAATATATACTATTAATATATTTATACTCAATACATACCGCAGGCTATAAGCAATTGGACTCTTCGCGATGTTAGCCCGAATGCTTGCCACTAGTTTTATTTCTTAACTATTTCATTATTATTCTGTTATTCCATTCGTATTATATGTGCATTAAGTAAAATACTACACGAAGTAAAATTTGCTAGATATTTGCGATAAGTCTAGGTGTATTAATGTGTAATAATGAACATTATTTCTCTTTCAGATTTCTCATAAATATATAAAAGTCTGCACTCGATTTATGATATAATAGAGAATCAGTGCGATGAATATCAGAATCGAAATGTCAAATTTATTATAATGTACGATGGAATAGAAATGCAACTTTAAACGATGGTACGTAAGTCATTAGAATTGAGAAATAGTTCAGGAACACCACTATGAAACATCAATTCGAGGAAGCAAAGGAAAGTGCATTCTGCATATTAAAATTACAGATAAGGCAGGCTATAAGCAATTGGACTATTCGCGATGTTAGCCCGAATGCTTGCCACTAGTTTTATTTCTTAACTATTTCATTATTATTCTGTTATTCCATTCGTATTATATGTGCATTAAGTAAAATACTACACGAAGTAAAATTTGCTAGATATTTGCGATAAGTCTAGGTGTATTAATGTGTAATAATGAACATGTTGCGCTTTCAGGTTTCTCATAAACATATAATGGTCCGCACTCGATTTTTGATATAATAAGGAATCAATGCGATGAATATCTGAATCGAAATGTCAAATTTATCGTAATGTAGGATGGAATAGAAGTGCAACTTTAAACGATGGTACGTAAGTCAATACAAGTGAGAAATAATTCACGAACAGCGCCATGAAACATCAATTCGAGAGGGGAATGGACATTGCATTCTGCGTATTAAAATTGCAGATAAGTACCTGACGTAATATCAAGAATGAAAACTAACCGGAAAGGCATGCCAGCCATTGCCGGCATTGTGTGTCCCAGAGACTACGCCATATCCATAGCGAAAATAAAACGACAAGATCTGAAAATCCGACCCCAGGCGCGTGCCCAGGAGAGCCCCTGGGAACCTGGAAAACAGATACCTCTGTTAAGAATAGAAATCATGATTCTATTCTAATTAGATAGTGTAATCAAACTTATGAGCGAATTCCAAACCACGGAATAGATATTGAGAAGTATTTAAATATTAATATTTTTTCAAGGTAATTAAAAAATTTTCTATCTTCAATCTTAATAGAAATACAATTTATGGTATTTCTATCAACAGCATTAAAATATGCTTCATGTTATTTGATATTATTATAAATAGAAGACGTACTTGAGTTTTTCACTGGCGTTTGCTAAAGGTTATTTATGTTTTTGATATCTTTCTTCTAAAATCATTTGCCTTGAGTGTCCTCCAAATCAATGATAATTTGAACGATTTTATATGTTTCTTAAATGTCATTTCTGAATAATGAAATATATTAACATGTCGTATAGATAATACCGAAAAACCGTTTCAACCTTCGAGTATGATTCGACATTTATAACACGTAACAGTTTTAAGCTTTGAACTTTATGTTTTGGTGGGACGTAACAGTTTAAATCAGGGTGAAAGATTCAAGATGTTAAGTGATCGAGATCGATTATGATAGAAAGTTCAGACGGTTCTTTGGCATTATCGACACGATATTTTAATACATTTCATTATGTGCGAAAACTTTAAATCGAGACGTAGGAATCAAAATTTTGAAGTTATGGTAATTTTTGCAAGTTCTATAAATCTTAATGAACCTTCGATTCAATTGTAGATTCGAAATTAATACTAATTGCTATGGATTCGTATCTCTATTTGGAAATAAAAGAATAATAGTTAAATTCGCTGAAAATAGGTATCTCAAACGGACGCATTTTTTATATTCTCATTCAATCAGAATTTGTTACTCTGCGATATTTAATTTCTAACTGTTTATTACAAAAATATATATTGTATAATAATATTAACTGCTTACCGTCCTACGCTGGGACATGTTGCCAAAAATAAGTACTTTCACGCAATTATATAATCACGATAGATTTTCAATAATTCAATTTGTAGAATCCAGTTCACTCATAATTATTTAAGAAATGCACGAATGATCATGGGTAGTTATCTATTGCTAAAAAAGAACAACTGTAAGAAATCTTTACACTGAATCTCGCGATTTACGGACTTCGTATCGATTTGTTCGATTTGCACGAGTGTCACAACCATACTAGGTACTTCTGGGGCTACTTCCTGTTTACATACAGTCAACATTATTTCAACACATAAACACTTCTAATTCTCCTTGTTATATGTTTAAATGTAACGAATTAATTTTAAATATTCCGACATAGGAACAATAATGTTTTTGTACTTATTATATCTAGGAAGTATCCTAATTATAATGTTAGAACAGTCGGATGCCAACTATTATATGATTTTGAAGTTATGGTAATTTTTGCAAGTTCTATAAATCTTAATGAACCTTCGATTCAATTGTAGATTCGAAATTAATACTAATTGCTATGGATTCGTATCTCTATTTGGAAATAAAAGAATAATAGTTAAATTCGCTGAAAATAGGTATCTCAAACGGACGCATTTTTTATATTCTCATTCAATCAGAATTTGTTACTCTGCGATATTTAATTTCTAACTGTTTATTTCAAAAATATATATTGTATAATCACATTAACTGCTTACCATTCTACGCTGGGACATGTTGCCAAAAATAAGTACTTTTACGCAATTATATAATCACGGTAGATTTTCAATAATTCAATTCGTAGAGTCCAATTCACTCATAATTATTTAAAAAATGCACGAATGGTCTTGAGTAATTATCTATCGCAAAAAAAGAACAACTGTAAGAAATCCTTACACTGAATCTCGTGATTTACAGATTTCGTATTGATTTGTTAGATTTACACGACTGTCACAACCATACTGGGTACTTCTGGGGCTGCTTCCCCTTTACATACAGTCGATATTATTTCTGTACATAAACACTTCTAATTCTCCTTGCTACATGTTTAAATGTAACGAATCAATTTTCGATATTTTGACATAAGAATAAAATATTTTTTTACTTATTATACGTAGAAAATATCCTAATTATAATGTTAGGACAGTTGAATGCCAACTATTATATTATATATATTTCTTAAATATAGAGATTAAAGCGAGCAAAAATAATTGCAGAGCTTCTACTGTTAGTTATTATTGTTCCATGTTGCTACATAGGCTACGTCGCGATCATAATCCAGCATCTGAATTATCTTTAATTTCTTGGGGCATAGCTTTCTTTATCGCGGCAATTTTTTTTCTCTTTGCTGTTCCTCTATTTCGACGTTTCCTACTGAAACTGTCGTATTTTCTACGATCTCTCACACGTCGAAACACTTTTTCGTTTGAAATTTCCTCAGTAGGGAAACGCTCCGCAGAAATCATTCCCTCCTCGCATCTGCATCTTCGTACACTGAGTACACTTACATGTGTGCACTTGTCCCAATTATATCGACTATGATTGCGTTCAGGCTCACGACGCAAGGAATCATCTTACTATCATGTACGTGGGCTAGAACTATTGGGTTGGCAACTAAGTGATCGCGAGCAATATTATCCTGCTGCGATAACAGTCGTTCGTTTGCCTCTTGCGTTTCTCGGAAATCAGAGCGGTAAATAGTAATTTTCATTGCATTCAGTTTGAGAGTTAGTGTTGCGTTATTATTCCATCACGATTTCGAAGTATTTTTCCATTTAACGTTGAGATAATGAATGATCGCGTTTTTTATAGTACTGTTGAGCTGATATTATGCTCAATGCCGAATCGTATTCCACTGGATTCTGGAAGCACGTTCCTGCTCCTAGATCATCTGACGCAATTATACTAGCAGCCACCCAAATGGCTGCATAGGACGTCTTGATATTAGTGTTGCGAATACTCAAATATGAGTGCATATATTACTATTTATTATTAAAATATCCAACTTTTACTTGTGGAAGTTTAGTATTTATCTTTATTTTTTTATTTTCATTAGTCAATTAATTTGTATTGCAACTATTGCATGAAGCACTGTTCGTGTATTTATCTTGAGAATTTTCTATTCTATACATGAATTTAGTTAATTAATATTGCGAAAAAGAAAAGGTAGTCCACTCACGATTTATTGCTCGGGTTTATATCGAGTGGATAATGGCCGTATTTTGCTGGCCCTAATGGCTACTGATTTATTCTTCTTTTCAGGGTTACATAGTGAAACATCTTGATTTCTAATAGGTAGGGTTTATAAGGAAGCCTTTAGATTTTTTATAGTTTGGTTTAAGGGAATCTTTATATTCTTGATCGGTAAGATTTATAAAGCCACTCTGTGCCTTTATTATTTTCGGATATGTATGTATTATACAGGGCTTACGAAAACACCTTTAGGTTCCTGATTAAAGTATTGAAATTAAATTAGATGTTCTAGATGGAACGTTTGTGAGTCATGTGCGTGGTTATATAAAGTATCTTTACTGCAAAATGCAATGCTTCCTAGAAGCATTAATCCGTCCCTAATAAGTACTTTAATATTTAATTAGTTTATACATGCATTTAATTATACATGCATAATTAACAGTACTGTTTAAGTAGATAAGGTAGTGTAAGTAGATAAATAGTATAATTCTTTATGAAACGCAACATTCTCTTTTTTAAAACAATTTTACCACAGACGAGGAACAGGAATAGACGTGATATTCAGTGCTTGTTCACATTTTGCGGGTCGGATGACCTCTCCATACCATTTTCGTGTCGCATGCGAAGTTACTATTTCAGTTTAATACTTGTTTGAATTAAGACTACAATCTTGTACGAAATTATAAATAAAATATAAAACTGGATATCCAATACTCGCAGCGAAATATAATTCTATCTTGCTACAATATTTCACACTATCAAAATAATAAATTACTGTATAGTAAAGTACTGTAATAAGAATTAAGTAAATCGTTTAATCAGTTCTAAATGAAATTGCAATTTCATATATCTGAAACAAAAATGTGATTTTTTAAATCTTTTCTATTTCCATCCTTGTATTCTCAAATCAATTATTAATTATATATTATCAAGTTTAGGTAATCTGATTTACTATCACAAACTCGTAATACAATACGTCGTTGAAACCGTATCGATAATTTATCGATAACGAACAGACAGTGTCCCACGGTGTCCAAAGGTTTCCCATGGTGACCCAGGAATTGTGCCCCACGGTACCGCAAGGTTTGCTATTGTATCCCACGATTTTCCATGGTATCCCACTGTTTACCACGGTGAGCCACGGTGAGCCACGGTGGTCTACGTTGCACTCCAGTCTAGATCATCCAAAATTCTCTTCGTGACTTTTGGTTATCCAAACTGGACTGTATATAGCGTAGTTCTTGGCTTGGCATCATTTCCAAAGATTAATCCCTCGATAAATTTTTGAAAAACGGTACCAATTACCAGATCTCACCACGAGGAGGTGACTACGCACGAGATCCACCCATGAGTTCTTTATCACTGCACCTCAATCTCGACATTCAACATATAGACAAGAGTGTCGAGTTCTAACTCTACTTAACCATGGGCCTGCCGGGCCGGGACCACCGAACAGAATTATGAATGCACTGCCCCAACCGAACGAGTGACGTCCACTCCCGCGCCAGTCGAACAGAATTACGGCGAATGTGAAATTGCAGGTCCCTATCCGAACAGTACTGCAGATCCACGATTGAATCCCCAACAGATTCGAAAGCATCACCGGCGCGTCCACAACCCCCGCGATCCCGCGCAGACATCGAGCAGTCACCAGAACAGACGAATCTTTGGGGTGACTTACAAATTGAAAGAGCTATGTCGCCTACGTTGACCTGCATGCACCTGGAATAGGCGCGAGCAACCCTGCCATGCAGGCGCGAGAAACCTTGCCATGTGATCAGATATTTAAATCATTGATTTAAAAGTTAGGGATTGATGGTATTGTTTTAGAATAATTATCAGAACAATTAATTTTTTATTTTAATTTTTTAGATTTTTAAATTTTACTATGCATCAGAATATTATACAACCATTTATAAATTTTCATAGCTTAATTCCAAGTATATAAAACGGAGCATATTCAAACGATCATATAATGGAAATGTAGCGAGTACCCTTGTCAGATAATTACAATCGTCGCGACGCAACGTTATGAATTGTAAAGAGCGTGAAAAACACTGATATTTTTCTATATCGGTATTTTATAACACGCGACACAGAGTCTCATATAATATCACGTCTAGACCAATTGTTTGTAATAGTGAATGTGCGAAATATCATATACGAATAGATATACGAATTAGCATCTCACAGGAAATTATAATATAAATGAAATTTAGTTTTTGGTTTAACCAAATCTTTACTTTTAGGTTTAAATTTTCGCTTCTGTCGTTTTTAGAGATGTTTTTGTTATTTGTTTTCCATAACGATCGAAGAGCAAATATTTTTCAAATGAATGAGAATAAAGAATATCTCCGAATTCTTTTATCCAATATGATTAATATTTTGGGAAAAAGAAGGGGTAATGTTACCGTAGAAGAGAAAGTTGCTATTCAGAGTACTTTACCCAGTGAACTCGGAGGTTTTCTTGTCATGTTAAAATCGTTCTCGACGTTACCGATCTAGCATGACGTAGGTTTAGGATCTTAGCTGTATTTGGTATTACAGTTGACTCGTCTTCATTCGAACTCCTTTACTTAATTTCCACTGGGTGTGTCTGTAAGAAATTCGTCTGCAATAAAACTTAAATAAAATAGAACATTCAAAATCTTGTTTGTGATTTTATATATAGATAGGAACACCATGTTTCTTGTATCTTTTTAATAAGGAAGATATTTGTTTAAAAGATATACAATAAATACATAATTGTCGATAGACAAAAATTTATAAAATTATCGATATTTAATTTTTCACGTAAATTTTCGGATATTAAAAGTAGGAAATATTATAAATTTCTGAAGTGAACACTATTATTATAGCCATAATTTACCGAAAATAACGTTCGACAGTTCGATGTAATTCCTGCTAGACTATGCTATATATTTATCACTGTGTTATCATACAGTAATTACTATAATATTCGAAGTAACATATTCAAATATTTTTCAGTAATAACTATAATATAACGCTGAAAAGACCATGTCTTACACATATATAATTGTATATGTATATACATATGCTTATCAACGACAAAACACAATGTAATATAAGTACTTATTAACAATGTGTTATGTTAATTATATTACATTGTTTTTAGCATACATACTGACTTTTTCAGCATACTTGCCGTTTATTGTAACAATATTAACATATGTATTTGCGATATACATATGTTATATATTGCAAAAAACAAAAAATAACAGCATAGATAACAGCTGATATATAAAGAATAGTTCTTGACAGTGTTATGTCATCGTATCAGTCTTGAATATGTTACTTCTGTAACTTTTGCTAATTTTTGCTCAATTATCTCGAGTTAATTGGTATTGTTACATTGTTCGTGTTATGAAATGGATAAAAAGTTTAGTTTGAGAACATGTGTCCCTCTGAGTTCAATGCAAGTCAATTTATGCAGTACATATGTTTGTAAATGACCACTACCTTTGTTAGACACAATTCTAAAATTACACGTACAAACGAATAGAACTACATTACTACAAAAATTGCATATCGTGATGAAATTGTAGATCTTTATCGTTATAGGAATAAAAATGAGAAATATAATATTCCGAGTAAGTAGACACCGTGCCACGGACGTACGGTTCAGTTTTTTCTTGTCATATTCTACGAATATCCATTTCATCGGTTCGAACTTCTTCATTCAAAGAATTCAAATTTTCACCAACTAAAAGCGCTTCAATCTCGCGATACGTTTTTCCTTTTGTTTCCGGTACCCATATGAACACTATCATAAATGCCACCCAGCATGATGTCGCGAAGATAAAGTAAATCGCATACGATCCTACATTATCGGTAATCATTTGATACAGTTTCGACACGGTAAAACCAATTATACCATCGAAAATTGCAATGATGGCACCAACAAAGCCTTTTAGTTCTGTAGGAAATAACTCGCATTGGAGAACATTGGGTAACGTACCTAAACCAATGTGAAACATTACTTGATATATAATTAGGTCGATAACTGGAAGAGGTGAGAGGATGGATACATCAGACTTATATTGAACTAATAAAAGATAAGTTGCTAGAATAATCAATGTAAAACACGACCCAAGCGTAGACAGAATCAAAAGTGTTCTTCTTTCAAGAGAAGTCACTGTTAAGGTGCATAAAGTGCCACATATGAGGCCGACAGTCATCACCAAAATCGTCACTGCGCTTGCTCTGATATTGATCGTTGTTTTGCCAAACAGCACTAACAGATACTGCATAGTGATGTAGTTTCCGCTAAGGTGTTGTGCCATGATTAAGCCAAGCATGATAAACAACGCTTTCCTATTGCTTCGTTGTAGTACTGCTTGCAGTTTGGTTGACCAATTATATTTAGTTAAATCTATGTGTGTCTCATCTGTGTCAGCCCATTCGCGTAAATCCTCATTAGATTGTGTGCATAAATCGCTTCTAAATCGTGATAGTATTTCGCATGTGGGGTCTGGGAGTATTTCGTATGTGGGGTCTGGGTTTATTTCGCTTGAGGATGATCGGTGCATTTGGTCTGTGGATGATTGGTGTATTTCGCTTGAGGATGATTGATGCGTTTGGCTTGTGGATAGTTGGTGTATTTCGCATGTGGGGTCTGGGTTTATTTCGCTTGAGGATGATTGGTGCATTTGGTCTGTGGATGATTGGTGTATTTCGCTTGAGGATGATTGATGCGTTTGGCTTGTGGATAGTTGGTGTATTTCGCATGTGGGGTCTGGGTTTATTTCGCTTGAGGATGATTGGTGCAGTGGTTGGTGTATTTCGCTAATGGTTGGTCGGTGTATTTGACTTGTGGATGGTTGGCGTATTTCGCATGTGTGTTCTGGGCTTATTTCGCTTGTGGATGGTTGGTGTATTTCGCTTAAGGATGATTGATACGTTTGGCTTGTGGATGGTTGGTGTATTTCGCTTGAGGATGATCGGTGTAATTCGTACGTGGTTTGTGTGCGTAGAGCATGTAGTTCCATTCTCAGTTTGTGCCTATTTATCAAGCTTTGGTAATATGATATCGACTTGCATGCTTGCTTCGTTTGACCTGTTGCCACCGAGCAAAACAGAGTTTCGGGAAAATACATGTTCGACAAGAAGGATATAAAGGATATTATTGCAAGGATCTGCAGCAGTGACTCGTACATCAGCCAAAGTCCTAGGATGCTGGTTACCAGTGTCCCGATAGATACGTTCACGACGCATAGAGAACTTAGGGTGCTTCCAATGTTGATGTCGGTGACTCCTGGCACGTACATGGGATTTACCGTGCGCGCAATACCAACGCCTATACCGAGAATCCCCCGAGCAAGGTATAGCATTGGCACAGAAGTTGCGGCGTAGATGGTGAACCAGCCTAATGTGAACATTGTGTTACATAAAACGAGGCAGTTTTTACTACCGCTGCTGCTGGCCAACTGTATAGCCACAAGTGAACCGATCATTGAACCAAGTACTGTACAAGAAACGATCCATGAAGATTCGCTGTGTGTTAACGTTAGCGGCACGCCGCCAGTCCCGGATATTAGATAAGCAAGAGAAATCGTTGTCCATCCGTTGACTGAACCGAGTATGAGCATGGTTAGCGCTGCTGAAATGAGAAACGTGTAATGCTATATATAGCATATGTTAATTGTAGTGCGATTGTTTTATAAGAACAGTGCGTATATTTAGACAAATTTATATTTTTAATATATACTCTTAATATATTTATAATTAATACATACCGCAGGCTATAAGTAATTGGACCCCTCGCGATGTTAGCTCGAATGATTCCCACTAGCTTTATTTCTTAACTATTTTATTATTAATCTGTTAATCCATTCGCATTATTTGTGTGTTAATTAAAGTACTACATGAAGTAAGATACTACATGAAGTAAAATTTGCTAGATACTTGCGATAAGTCTAGGTGTATTAATGTGTAATAATGAACATGTTGCGCTTTCAGGTTTCTCATAAACATAAAAGTCCGCGCTCGATTTATGATATAATAAGGAATCAGTGCAATGAATATAAGAATCGAAATGTTAAATTTATTATAATGTAGGATGCAATAGAAATGCAACTTTAAACGATGGTACATAAGTCATTAGAATTGAAATATAATTCACGAACATCACTATAAAACATCAATTCGAGGAGGCAAAGGAAGTTGCATTGTGCGTATTAAAATTACTGATAAATACCTGACGTAATATCAAGAGTGATAACTAACCGGAAGCAGATGGCTGACATAGCCACATTCGATTTTTGAAGAGCCTACGATCTTTCTTTTTCGGCGATGAATCGACAAGATCGGAACCACCGCCCTCAAACACTCTCCTTGGAACCTGGAAAACAGTTACCTTTGTTAAGAATAGAAATCATAATTCTTTTCTAATTTGGTAGACCAATCAAACATTTCAGCGAATATAAACTCCAAACCACGGAAAAGATATTAAGAAGTATTTAAATATTAATATTGTTTCAAGGGAATTAAAAAATGTTCTTCTATTCTGTCTATTCTGTCCTCTTCTGTTTATCAACAGAATATAATTAAAATATGCTTGATGTTATTTGATGTTATTATAGATAGAAGACGAACTTGAGCTTTTCACTGACGTTTGCTAAAGGTTATTTATGCCTTTGACAACTTTCTTCTAAAATCATTTGCTTTGAGTGTCCTCCAAATCAATGATAATTTGAAAGAATTTATATGTTTCTTAAATGTCATTTCTAAATAATGAAATGTATGGATAATACCGAAAAACAGTTTGAACCGTCGAATATGATCCGATATTTATAAGATGTAACAGTTTTAAGCTTTGAATTTTATGTTTTGGTGGATCGTGACAGTTTAAATCAGGCTGAAAGATTCAAAATTTTAAATGATCGCGATCGATCAAGACGCAAGGTCAATGATTTAAGATTATTGTGACTTTTAAACATTGAATCATATTCCAAGGTTCAGACGGTTCTTTGGTATTATCGATACGATATGTTAATACATTTCATTATGTGCCAAAACTTTAAATCGAGACGTAGGAATCAAAACTTCGAAATTTTGGTAATACTTGCAAGTTCTATAAGTCTTGAAGAACCTTCGATACAATTGTAGATTCGAAATTAAAACTAATTGCTATGGATTCGTATCTCTATTTGAAAATAAATAAAAGCTAATTCGCTGAAAATAGGTATATCAAACAGACGCTTTTTTTATATTCTCGTTGAATTAGAATTTAGGATTTGTTACTCTGCCATATTTAATTTCTAGCCGTTAATATCAAAAACATTTATTATTAATCATCATATTAATTATTATTATCATATTAAATGCTTACCGTCCTACGCTGGGTCATGCTGCCAGAAATGAGTACTTTCACGCAATTATATAATCACGATTGATTTTCAATAAATCAAGTTGCAGAATCCAGTTCACACATAATTATTTAAAAACTGTACGAAAGATCATTGGTAATTATCTATCGCAAAGTAAGAACAACTGTAAGAAATCTTTACACTGATTCTCGTAATTAACGGATTTCGTATTGACTTGTACCATTTACACAACTGCCACAACCATACTGGGTACTTCTGAGGATGCTTTCCCTTTACATTCAGTCGACATTATTTCAATACATAAACACTTCTAATACTCCTTGCTACATGTTTAAATGTAACGAATTATTTTTAGATATTTTGCCATAGGAACAATAATATTTTTGTACATATTATATCTAGGAAATATCCTAATTATAATGTTAGAACAGTCGAATGCCAACTATTATATGATATATATTTCCTATAATATACAAATTAAAATGTCCAAAAATAATGGCACAGCTTCGACTATTGGTTACATTTGTTCCATGTTGCTACATCGGCTACGTTGCGATCATAATCCAGCATTTGAATTATCTTTAATTTCTTGAATCATAGCTTCCTTTATCGCGGCAATACTTTTTCTCCTTGCTTTCCCTCTATTTCGACGTTTCCTACTGAAACTGTCGCGATGTCCAATGATGTCCAATGGTGTCCAATGATGTCGAACAATGTCCTACGATGTCTAATGATGTTCCACGGTATCCCTCTGTGCAGTCCAGTCGAGAACATCCAAAATCCTCTTAGTGGCTTTTGGTGATCCAAACCGGACTGTAGCGTAGTCCTTGGATTGGTAATAGATTGATCAACTGATTAATTTTTGAAAAACGATGCCAATTAACAAATCTCACCACGAGGAGGTGACAACGCACGAGAACCGCCCATAGGTTATTTAACATTACACATCGATCTCGACATTCGACTTATTGGCAGAATGTCGAGTTCTGACTCTACTTGACCATGGCCCTGCGTAAAGAAATAATTGTTTCGTAGCCTAATTTCGAAACATATATCTCTATCGTAGCGCTTACATGTATCTTTACAAACGTAGAAAAGCATACATAACGCAACATCTATCTCCTACACAACGACTACATCGATCAGTGCAAATATCGTATAGTAATTCGCATCCCTACTGGTAGCATTCGGTATCAAAGGCACATTTCTCTAACATTGAACGAGAGAAAGAAAATGTAACTATTGACACTGTGTATTACAATTCTGTGTTTTGCAAGGGGGACATACGAGTCGTTACACTAAACTGTTTAACATGTTATTTTCGCGACTCTAAACTCTTGAATGTATTAGAAAGAAACTCTAACATGACCCCAATAAGCTTCCCTGAAAAATGGAAAAACACGAAGAAATCCAAGAATCAAACGATAAAAGAAAAATCACGGTGCGTCCAGAACGAACGAGATCGCGATCTCTCGAAAGAACTAACAAACGTACGCGACGTACCCCCGTATACCGGACAACCCTCAGGATCAGCGGAATGCCCTTCACTCGATTCCTGTTTCGCCGTTCGAAACTTACATGAGTCGCGGTTTATGGTACCGACCACTGATGCCAGTAATTCACTGGAGATGCAGCCGTGGATCCAGCACACGGGTCGGCAACATAACACACTCCAACTGAACAAGTGGAATCCGTGGAGGGACCGCTGAACAGGATTACGAATGCAAGGCTGAATAGTGGGGTCCACCCTCTCGGAGACGAACAGGATTACGGAGGTCGTGAAATTGCAGGTGTCTGACCTAGTACCGAAGTATCAATCGGACAAGACTGCAGATCCACGACTGAACCCTCAGCAGATTCGCAAGCATCACCGACGCGACGGCAACTCCCGTGATTCGATGCAAACATCGAGCAGTTATCAAGCAGTCACCAAAGCAGAGGTGTCCTTGCGGCGACTTACAAATCGAAAGAGCTGTCCAGTGCACGTTGACCTGCATGCATCCGGAATACGCGCGAGCGAATATATGCCATGCGATCATATATTTAAATCATTGATTTAAAAGTTAGGAATTGATGTTATTGTTTTAGATTAATTATCAGGAGAATAGATTTATTATATTAACTTTTTAGATTTTTAAATTTTAGAATCCATCAGATTATTATATAACCACTTATAAAGTTTCAAAACTTAACTCCAAGTATACAAAACGGATCACATTCAAACGATCATGTACTGGAAATGTGGCGAGAATACTTTTCAGATAATTACAATAGTCGCGGCGCAACGTTATGAATTGTAAAGAGCGTGGAAAACACTGATATTTTTCGATATCGATATTACAGAACACTCGACACAGAGTCCTATATAATATCACGTCTAGTCCCGTTTTTGCAATAGTGAATGTGTGAAATACCGATACATATACGAATTAGCATCTCACAGAGAATTATAATATAAATGAAATTTAGTTTTTGGTTTGACTAGATCTTTACTTTCAGGTTTAAATTTCTGCTTCTGTCGTTTTTAAAACTCTTTTTGTTGTTGCTTTCCAAAATGATCGAAGAGCTAATATTTTTCAAATGAATGGGAATAAAGAATTTGTCCGAATTCTTTTATACAAAATTTGTAATATTTTGTGAAGGAGGTGGGCGATGGAACCGTGGAAGAGAAGGTCCCTATTCACAGTACTTTACCCACTGAACTCGGTGGTTTTCTTACCATTTTAATATCGTTCTCGACGTTACCGATTTAGCATGACGTAGGTTAAAGACCTTAGCAGTATTTGATATTACAGTTGACTTCGGTTTTCGGACAGTTTTCATTCGGACTCCTTTAATTAATTTCCACTAGGTGTGTCTGTAAGAAATTCATCTACAATAAAACTTAAATAAAATAGATCATTTAAAATCTTGTTTGTGATTTTATATATAGATGGTAATTCCATGTTTCTTGTAGCTTCTTAATAAAGAAGATATTTGTTTAAAAGATATACAATAAATACATAATCGTTGATAGAAAAAAATTTATAAAATTATCGATATTTAATTTTTCGTGTAAATTATCGTATATTAAAAGTAGGAAACATTATAAATTTCTAAACTGAACACTATTATTATAGCTATAATTTACCGAAGATAACATTCATCAGTTCGATAGAATTTCTGCTGGACAAGGCTAGGTGTTTATCGCGGTGTTATGATACAGTAATTACTATAATATTCGAAGAAACATATTCAAAAAATTTTCAGTAATAACTATAATACAACACCGAAAAGACCATGTCTTACACATATATAATTGTATATGTATATACATATGCTTATCAGCGACAAACACAATGTAATATAAGTACTTATTAGCAATGTGTTAAGTTAATTATATTACATTATTTTTAGCATAAATACTGACTTTTTCAGCATACCTGCTGTTTATTGTGGCAATATTAGCATATGTGTATGTGATATACATATGTTATATATTGCAAACAAAAAATAACAGCATAGATAACAGCTGAAATATAGAGAATTGTTCTTGTCAGTATTATGTCACCTTGTCATTTTTTAATATATTACTTTTCTTACTTTTGCAAACTCTTGTTCAGTTATCTCGAGTTAATTGATATTGTTACGTTGTTCATATTATGAAATGGATAAAAAGTTTAGTTTGAGAACATGTATTCCTCTAAGTTCAATGCAAGTCAATTTATACGATGCATATGTTTGTAAATGACCATGAGCTTTGTTAAACACATTTCTAAAATTACACGTACAAACAAATAAAACTACGTTACTACAAAAATTGAATATCGTGATGAAATTGTAGATCTTTATCGTTATACTAATAAAAATGAGAAATAAAATATGCCGAGTATGTAGACACCGTGCCACGGACGTACGGTGCAATTTTTCCTGTCACAATCTACGAATATCCGTTTTATTGGTTCTAACTCTTTCATTCAAAAAATTCAAGTTTTTACCAACTAGAAGCGCTTCAATCTCGCGATACGTTTTGTCTCTTGTTTCCGGTATCCATAGGAACACCACAATGTATGCCAAGAAGCATGATGTAGTGAAGATAAAGTAAATCGCATACGATCCTACATTATCGGTAATCACTTGATACAGTTTCGACACGATAAAACCAATTATACCATCGAAAATTACAATGATGGCACCAACAAAACCTTTTAGTTCCGTAGGAAATAAGTCGCATAGGAGAACATTGGATAACGTACCTAAACCAAGTTGAAACACTATTTGATATATAATTAAGTCGATAACTGGAAAAATAGAGACGTTGGAAATGTTACACTGATGTTCAAATAACAAAAGATAAATTGCTAAAATATTCAATGTTAAACATGATCCAGCCGTGGATATAAGCAAAAAAGTTCTTCTTCCAATCAATTCCACTGTTATGATGGTTAAAGTGCCAGATACAAGGCCAAAAAACTGGACCAAAAGCGACGCTTCCTGTGGATCGATAACGGTCGTTGTTTTGTTCAACAACACTTCCAGATACTGCATAGTGATGAAGTTCCCGCTAAGTTGCTGTGCCATGATCATTCCAAGCATGATAAAGAGAGCTTTCCTGTTGCTTTGATGTAGTATTGCTTGCAGCTTGATTTTACAGGTATATTTAGTTCCATCCATGTATATCTCATCTATGTCCGACGATTCTCGTGCATCAACACTGGATTGTAAATCGCTGGATTTATCCACATTGGATTGCATGCGTAAATCGCTACTGGATCGCGATTGTATTTCGCATATTTCGTCAGGGTTTATTTCGTTTGTGGATGGTTGGTTTATTTCGCTTGTGGAAGGTCGGTGTATTTCGCTTGCGGATGGTCGGTGTAATTCGCCCGTGGGTTGCTGGAGTACGTCGCATATAACTTCTGTGTGTATTACGGATGTAGGCTGTGAGGGTGAATCGGTACTGGATGGTGAGGACATGGGTCCTGTGTCTACTACTTCCCAAAAAGAGTCTGAGTGTGCTTCGCGTCTTGATTGTGAGGGTAAGTCGATTCTGGGTTGTGAAGGTAAATCGCTACTGGACTGTGGGGCTAAAAGGCGTCTTGATTGTGAGGGTAAGTCGCTTCTGGGTTGTGAAGGTAAATCGCTACTGGACTGTGGGGCTAAAAGGCGTCTTGATTGTGAGGGTAAGTCGCTTCTGGGTTGTGAAGGTAAATCGCTACTGGACTGTGGGGCTAAAAGGCGTCTTGATTGTGAGGGTAAGTCGCTTCTGGGTTGTGAAGGTAAATCGCTACTGGACTGTGGGGCTAAAAG